TAAGGAAATCAAGAAATTTTTTAGGAAATATGTTTTAATACGTGATGAAGTTTAAGTTATACTGAAAATTAAAATAATCTCTTTATGCCCATGGTTTGTAATATAAATCTTACTTATAAAAATATATATAAAGAAGTAAAAATTAAAAAATCTAATAACCAAATATATACCTAGGAATATTCTCTTTTTCTTAAAAAAAAAAAAGTAATTCATCATACTAAGTAATAGTTATTATATATCTATAAAATTACTCGTTATTGCATTTATACTCGCTCATAATTTCATCTTTTTACTTTTTAACATTATTTTATTTTTTATTATTGTTGTAAGCTTCATAAGTATGATAACAAAAGGGTGGTATTAGAACAAAAATTTTATCTTTCTTGCATTTCCTCCAAAGCGGTTAAAATGTTATAAAAATTAGCAATCCAAGAGAGGCAAGTAAAATTTTGAAACCTAAAGGATGCTAAGTCATATTATAAAAAACATAAAGGAAGGTTTCTGAAATTATCTCTTGTTAAAGGTCACCACCCACCATCATCAAATAAAGTTTCGTCATATGTTGTCGGCCAAAACATGACTCACGATATATGAATTTGTCAAGTTTTCCCCATGCATTAATGTCATTATTTTTCTATTTTTCAATCAGTGTCTATTCTATTTTATAAACCATAAAAAAAAAAGTTAATATAAGTGGTCATGGAATTGCAACTTATTAGTAGTAGACCTTGGGAAGGAGGTCAAAGGGGGCAACCCAAGCATGTCCTGCGATGCAAATCTTGATGCAATATTGCAACTACTAGGGAGTATGTTAATAGAGGCTGGGACAAACTTTCAAATTTCAGGATTTGATCAATAACTACAAGTTATTTGTGCTAAGTTACAGCCTGTCAAAACAATTGTACACAAGTGTACAATTGATATTATTACAGCCATTTCTGTCCCAAGTTTAGGTGTGGTGGGATCCAACTGATATTATTATTACATTATGCGAAGTCTTTTTTTTTTTTTTTGAAAACGACAACTATTATATAATTTATCTATCCTAAACTAGAGAGGAGGGGAGCCTAAACAGACTATGTTTGGAGTTAGCAGGCATACAGACCTTACTAGATCAAGAAAGTGCTTTGACACAATCCTTAAATTTTTTTACTACAAGTGAAATTTGAACCCTCACCTACAGCCCAATGAGGGACTTAAAACCCTCCCTGATAGCCACTGAGCTTGGCTCAATGGTTACATTATGCGAAGTCAAGTAAACCACAATGTAAAATCATGATGCCTTTTGAATGAGGTCTGAGTAGGGCTGGAGCTGAACCAAGTAGTTTGGTTCGAGCTCGCAAGCTACATGGTCAGCAGCTCGAGCTGCTCGTGAGAGCTATCGAGTCGAGCTCGATCTTGGAAATATAATGTTCGAGAGCTCGACGAGCTCTATCGAGCTTTTTACAATATATATTTTAATTTTTATTATTGTAAAATGTCAATAATATCCTTTATTTAAAATTATATATAAAATATTAATTTTTATTACTTCAGCTTGATTAGGCTTGATTGAACTCGAATAAGCTCGATTGAGTTTGATTTGAATTAATTACATTTAATTAAACTCGAGCTCGAGTTCCATAAATTGATGTCGAGTTCGAGCTCGAGATCGAGATCGAGCTCGAATTTTAAAAACTTGACGAGCTCGAGCTTAGTTATTTTGCCTCGAGTCGAGCTCGAGTAGTACATTACTCGAGCTCGACTCGACTCGACAGCACCCCTAGGTCTGAGCAACTGTACCCAACATTTAAGGCCACATTAGGCTCAAGCTTCAAAACTTCAAAATCTACTGCTAAACTTCATTTAAACAATATTTAAATCCTTATTTTACTATTACAAATTAGTACAATTATTCCCTATGAACTATAACTTTTTTTCAAAGAGGGGAAAAGAGAATTTGTAATCGCAACCTCTAATTCCTGAAATTTCTATTTTAACTATTAGGCCAAAATTTTCTCGATTTATCAACTATAATTTGTTAAAATACAAAATTACTAAACTAGTGAACTGGCAATTGTTCGTACTTTGCTCCCCTTTGGGCAAGAAAAATTCCTAATAGAAACAACTAATTATCAACCCAAAAAACGTGGCTGTTTGTCGACAATAATGGTGTACGGTCAGGAATGTGGAAACTACCACGAGCAAATTTTAACCCTATCAGATATATAATTTTTTTCCGTCTCTCTTTTCATATCGTTCAGAAGGAACTCTTCTAGTAAAATTGGATCTTGCTAGAAGTACCCGGTTGCAAGACAAGATACATGCAACATGTGGCGAATACGAGCGACAGATATCCAGATGCTATTCCAATCATTCTTTGGGACAGGTGGAATCAATTGTTGCAAAGCTGACAACGAAGAACAATTAATAGATCAAATTGCTATTTCTATGAACCTTTCATGGCAGATATTGGAAGCTAGAAACGAGTGGCATTGTCAACTAGAATTGGGTTTCAGAGATGAAATAGAAGAAAGACCGCAGATTGCAGATTAACAAAGTTGCGATTCAAACTTTTGGGTGGGTTAGTGGGTTACTGGTCCAACCAATGAATGGATGGTTGAACCAGTGGATGATTAAAATATGATTTTTTTAAAATGTAAAAATGGTATGGACATCAATAAAACATGTTATAGATAATTTTTTGTTTAATTTAACGAGTTATTAAACAGTTAATCATTATGAAAGTTAACCACTAGGGTTGACCCAGTGATCAGAAGAAAGATCTGAGAATTCTCTCCACTGTCAAATTCTTGAATCTAGTAGTTAGGGTTGGGAAAGGGCAAGGAGGGGTGGGAAGGTTTAAAAAATCAAATAAATTTAGGAAAAAATGTAGTTTTGGTCCTCAATGTTTGGCACTTGGCAATTTTGGTCCTTGAAGTTTCAACAAAAATAAATCTAATCCCCAATCTTTGATGCTTTGTGTAATTTTAATCCTTAAAGTTTTTATAAAAATAAATTTGGTCTCCAATGTTATCAATTTAAAGTAGATTTAGGACAAATGGATTTTTTCAAATATTAACAAAATCAATCACGCACAATTACAAATTTTTTGAAATAAAATGCTTAAAAAAGATCCAAAATAGTAACCTTAAACAATAAAAATAATTCATGTGATGGCATGTTAGTAACTAACAACCCAGGAAGAAAAAAAGAAAGGAATTTTGTTAATCTATATGATAAAAATAAGTATTTATGTTATTTTGCTTAAGGGCAGTAGGGATAGAGAGTTGAAATGAGTTAGGTGAATCAACTAGCTCTAGTTTTCTAGTTTCAAAATTTTCCTTTCTTTTATTAGTTAATTAGTTGGCACGTGAGTTATTAGTTGTTAATTTTTTAAAAGTTAGCTACTATTTTGCTTCTTTATTTTGAAATTTAATTTAATGGACAGATGATTTGAAGTGACTAAATTCTATAAGTAATTGGGGAAAAAAATCTTCAAATATCCTAAATCTTTAACTTGATACATTAGGGACCACATTTGCACTTGTCAAGACTTTAGAGACTAAAACTGCACATGTACTAAATATTGAGAACTAGATTTTTTTTTTGTGCCAAAACTTAATCATACAGGGGTTAAACATTGGGGACTAATACTGCATTTTCTCCATAAATTTAATAATCCACCAACCTGCAAGCGTAAGATGTTATTTAAATTTAGTCCAATCATATATCTGTGGGTGTTGCTTTCTGGTGAAGGATTGGGAGCCTATTAGGGTGTTGGCCCAATCTGGTATTGAATAAAGTTATAACCCAACCTTTGATTGGTATGGATCCGGAGCAGGATCGTTGCCATGTTTTTAATAGAAGGGGTCCGTGGAATGGTTACTCGCCTTGATTTAGAATAGCGCAGGACCTTAGATTGACGGATCAGGGATCGTCTAAACCTTGTTGTCTTAGCCTAAGCATGGTCACTGCCCTAGATTGCTTGATGGGGTCAATGTCGCATGATGGAATTAAGTGATAGGTAAAGGCGGACAAGGCAAAAGCAAAAAGTGAAGGAATTAACTGAACAGTTAACGGTAAAGATTGGCGAAAAAGAAAATGTAAGGCTCAAATCACTGCATGTACATCATTTTCAATATCATATGTGAAGCCCACAAAAATTTGTTCTACAGTTAATTTTCATTGAAAGTGAGTATATAATGAAAAGAAGTAAACTACATCATGTGAAATTGAACAAAAATTGGCACAAACAGTTGTGGTGGGGTCACATGGAGACCAAGTCATCCTCACTAGCAGAGAAGTTGTGAAAACCAACTACACTACTAGAGTAGTTGGCCACCAAGAGAACTTTAAACCTCTACTTAGATATAGGTGAAGAGATTTGATTCCTTACCTATATTTTAAAAATTCAGACTCTCCTATCTAACATAAAGTAGGAGTAGGTGTTGAATAGAATCTTTCATATTCGAAAAAAAAAAACAGAGAACTCATGGATGTGTTTTGGAATAAAAAAAGTAGAGAAGTCAGGGATCCCTCCTGCTAGTGGGGCAGCATTATGAGGCCCATTGGTGGTTACTGACGCTGCCACCCATCCATGTTTAGATGGATACTAGGTGGTGACACCGCGCTGTGCGCGGTGGAATACATGCCCAGTTAATGTTTAGCTAGTAATGTTGGTGAGAATGAAAATTAGTGAAATACTAAACAGAGTAAAATTATTTGAGCAATACAGTTTTGTTATAAATATTGAATAGTCATCCAAAAGAGGTTCTAGTTCTACAGGCATTCTAAATATGAAAATCAAACAAGTTCAATTTTAGTCTTGAATGCTTAGGTTGTTGAAGCTGAGCTGATCAACCCCTAGAAAAGCATCCAAAAAGTATGAAGTTATAATGCTGAACACAGTAGCTCGAGATAGCCTGAATGCAGCAGAGCCTAAAATCTGATAGATATCAACGAAAAGTTCCACCAAATTCATCCGAAACTGAACAAGGCCATCAGGCAAATCACCAGCGTCTCCATCATCAATAAACATAGAATCGTTCACCTGTCCAAAAGACTCCAAATTAATCATAATCCAGACAAAAAATGAGGAAAAGGAAAGAAACTTGCAATACATGTATCTGAAAACAAAATTATTCCCACATACACTATTTTCTCAAAATGGCAATATGACCAAAAATGAACTGACATATGGACTCTTTCTCCACTGCTGGCCTATTTTCCAATTTGCAGGGAAGCGTACAACGGATGAAAAGGTCACACATGCATTGCAACATAGCAAAGATTCTGTAACAATTACAGCGGAAGCACTAATATTTCAACTTTTCCATGTCCTCACTAATAGGATAAACCTTCCATCATCTAACAACTTAGCCAAGGATGAACAGGCCTCTAGACTTGCTTTTAAAAGCATACACAGTGACCATAAATCTTGTAAACAACTACCGCCTCTGGAAAAAGATAAACTACTTTTACCCACTAAGATTATTCTGCAGCTCAAGTGTAACAGGTACTAATATATTATTCCAACTTATTCTTCAACTTGGAATGATCTAAGCATGTTTGTACAATGTTCTCTTCAATATATTCCTTCACTGCACATACTTTAAGCATGTTTGCATAAACCAATAGAACTAAGACTTGCACAATAATGGACAAACCAAATATCTGCATCCAACGAAAGTGGAAACAATGAAGCAAACTTGTGCCCGCAATAGAAGAGCATCAAGTAAAGCTGAGTGAGCAGGGAGAAATACTTCTTGTATATTATTTCTATCTCCTCCACCACTCAAATCATGCCCAAGAATGCAACCTGCAAGACTTGACCTGACATGTAAAGAGAACAAAAGGCTAAATTTGCATGAGATATAATTAATTCATAAAGTAAACTGTGAACCCAGCTTTAGCCACATCGGAGCCATCAAGAATCAGGGAACTAACACTGTGGGAAAAGGCAATGATAAGAAAGATAGGAAAACAAAGAACTATTTCTACCAGAAGTGCAAGATTCAGTCAGCAATTTCCCAATATTCACGTGGAAAAGTAGCACAACTGCACGCATAGATAAGAAATCAGAACATTATAAGTTAACATCAAACAAGGGACATTTTGCAGTGGAATTACGTAAGTGTGCACTTTGCATGGCACAAGGGAGATGTACAGTACCCTAAATCTACTGAAATAGGCTCATATGGTCAAACATCTTCAACATTCATACTCCAATGATGTAATTGTTTGCCAATCTAGTTGTTTCATCCTTAATTACTAAGACAGTTCTGATTTCCCAAAAAAGTTACAATATTGATGAGTAAGAGAAATGCAGAGAGCTTAAGTTAGCATTTTAAGGCTAATGAATCAAATTATGACCCACACACCTCTGGCTATGATACACGTTATCTCCTTAAGCACATCATTGTCAAATGTTCAAGATCTAACCTCAACAGAGCATCCATGAGTATTACTGCCTTAGGACTTGCTTTCAAAATCAAAGATGGTGCCAAGGATACATCATATCAGAAAAAACCAGTTTAGGCTATATCAGACGAGCATTAGTACCACTCTATGATTTTATGAAATCTAAATTGGAATCAAGATTCTATAAGAAGCAAGCCATGAAGAAGGAAAACTCCTATTGAATAGAGAACTTCGAACACTTACTGTCTGACCAATTTCTGACATCAAGCAAGCAATACCAGCAATCACTTTCTCGTCTCCCATATTAAGAGTTGGAAGAAAAAGCACTTCCTTTAGAAATCCAATTCTGCTTAACAAAGCTAGTGGCAAACCCTATGCAATAAAGGACGAGGAATTAGGATATAATACAGAAGTTCTGATTCAGGAAACTTGATTGTTTATACTCCCCAGAAAAGCTCCTAAATAAGCACGAAGAATAACTGCAGTGGAATCAAAACAGTATAGCTAAAGAATTGCAAGAACAACTCTCCCTTGTTTTGTCAGTAACGTTGCTATGTTCCCCAATATAATAATCGGCCATGGCAAAATAAACTGATAATATTTCGTACACATGATCTTAGTTTAAATGCTGCATTTTCTAGAATCATGTAACAGCTATTGTATCAGTATATATTTTTGACTCTTTTCTTTCAGTTTCACTAAAAAAGGCCTTAACCATCTTCTGACGTCTCCCTCAGTGGTGTTGGCAAGAAGGTAGCAAGAAGAAATATGTTAGTCTTCTCATGAATTTAGACATGATGGATAGATTTGTTTTGCATACAACATTCATATAGTGGACAATGGCACTTGAAGAATTAAAAAGGAGATTCAACATAGGAATAAGATTGTTCAGCAATTTAGCTCTCCAATTCTGCATCTAACACTACTTCTGAAATGGAGTTGTTTGATGCATCTGATGCTCAAGGCTAAGCTATTCGAATAGCCCAATAAACTTTATGAAACTAAGAATCTCAAACCTGATAGTACCTTTAAATGGAAGCAATACTATCTACTCAAAATCTATGATCTTTTACTGGAAACAATTATTTTGATTAGTAAAGATTTCTTTATGACGATAGACACTTGGAGCTGTATAACCACAGCTAATTCTTGAAATAATATGCCATCTAGTTCATGCAAAAATCTGCTTTTTGCATTACCAGAACTTATTTATCACAAAATAGAAATAATAAGTCATGACTGCAAAGAACTAATATTTTCAACCAATACAAGAGAAAAGAAAAAATTCATAAAATATACTGAAAAATCATATTGAGAAAGTCAAACCGGTAATAGAAGATCAAGAAACAGCAATAAAGAAATGACAAACATAAAAACTTACGTTTTGGACAGAGCATAAAAAATGCTCTGAGCTTTAGCAGTAACAGCAATCTTAAATCTTTCAGCCTCCAACTCAGCTTGCCTGAAAAATGCCACTTATAAAATCAACCACAATAATCACAAAACATTTGCGCCACATCACCATTATTTACATATTTAAATGTTAAAGCAGTCTATTTCCTCTCCTGCAAATGGTAGTCCTGTTTGGATACTCTGTTATGCAGAATTTTTGGGGTTCAATACAAAACTTGATGTAGGGGGGAAAGAGATAAATGAAAAGGTTTCATGAAAATTTAACCACTAATTTTACTTGAAAGCAGAATTGGAGGTCTTGATATACATTATTTGCACACGTGTTGCTCATAAATGGAAATGTAAAATTGTCCAAAATTTCCTTGGGTATGAACATCCAAACTGATTGATCAGATCTCAGTACAAATGCACTTAATCCAGTTTTAGGAAGTTAACTTTTTTGCGCACTTCTGAATAGAAGATAATAAGCTCATATCATTTTGATGCTACAAACAAGTTATTGGTGCATACAGGATTGCAGTGGTCTTGTTACAGGACATAAAAAAATTACAAAAACCAAAACAATTGTTTATGGTCCACAGTTCAATTCAGCATCAAGCTTAGTTTAATTCCAGAAGTGAAGCAATAAATAAAAACAAGGGGGAAACAGATAGTGTAACATGTTAATGTCATCCCCAACCCATGTATTTTAATAGTCATTCAAGAAGGCAAGAGAGAGAGAGAGAGAGAGAGAGAGAACAAAGAGAAAAATATATTGTATCTTACCATTTTTCTCAATAAGCATCACGACCATTTGTTAACTTAGTTTGTCATTATCCAAAATTATATCTACCAACTGTATATTCCCACTTAATCCAGATGCCTTGTCAGCTGGCATGAATGAAAATGCATATAGAAGCTTCATGCACTTCAATCCCCATTTAACCATCAATAACTCAATCAGGTGATGCCCACTATTTACAGTAAAAAGAGAAATAAAAAATTAACATAAACCTGTGATACATCCAAGCGCGGTACCAAATGTCCTTTAGCCAAGAAAAAATCAGGAATTGAAAATCCATAATCACCTTCTGTTGTAGTGAGCTGTTATAAAAATCGAAGAGAGAGAATTCTGGAGCAGAAATGGCACAGTAGCAAAAAGATAATCAAATGCTTCAAAGTGCATGCGTGGTAAAAACATCTTTTCAGTTAAGTGATATGTGAAACAAAACCAAAAAAGTCACCATATTGGGAAGAGAAAAATAGGGACAAACCTACCACTTGTTTCATATAGGACATCAGCTCCAAGGATAATATTTGGGCACAGGGTGAATATCTGTTCATCCCAAACACCCCATGTAAGTCCCAGCACCTTGCAATACATATAAATATGACCAATTATAAGTTTATTGGGCTCTAGTCAAATGTGGCTGCAGATTATGGTCTTGAATATAGAAACTAAGTATGCAATGCATCATTTCTCTGTGAAGAACTGAAGATGCGTCATATAAGCTAGCGAGTTAAAATCTACTACTATCAAATAAAAAACCATTCCATACTTTGCATGTCACATTATGCAGCCCACGTTCTCTCCTCATATTAGCCAGCACCTGCACATGTCAAGAACAAAACTGAAGCAAGTAGAGATGTAACAAAACTACAAGACATAGAAATTACTCTAAACTATAAGCCAAACTTCTGAAAAATAAATGTCTAAAACAGCATAAAAAAAAACAACGAAGCAAAAGCGCTTAGATAACAATAGTCCAAGCTGTTTTTTCCTGAAAACTCATCCAAGCTGTTTTTGTCCCAAAAAACTGAAAAAATCTCTTCTAAACTTGAAAATCAAGAAGGCTACCGATAAGTAAAAATAGTTCAAGCAAAAAAACAACAATCGGCTATTGATTTAAAATATCATTGATAAAAACTCTTAAACATAACCTTAAACCTGAAAAAGATGGCTCCTTTATCATTGATCCCTCGCTCTATTGGGAAAAAACAAAAAAAAACCCCACAACACGGTTTCTTCAGAAAGCAAAAAAAAGCACAAAAGAACTCGGGCATAAGAAAGTGGAGGAATTAGAAGAAGCAACACTTTTTCCTCTTTCCTTTATTTTATTTTAATCAAAACATTTTTTTCTGCTCAACCGATTTTTTCACCATCTATTCTCCCGTAACAAAAGAGAGATGGAAGAAAAGAAGAGAATAGGAAAGTTGAATTTCATGGGAATCTCTTCACATATCTCATATCGACCACAACTTGGGGAATGCACAACGGGTAATGTATGACAGAGAAAGACTAAAGAATGGATAGGACTGAGTGGTCATCTCAAGTCCATAGCTTCTAGCAGAAGGCATAGATGATTGATTGATTAAGAAAGAAAAAGGAGAAACAAAGGGGATAAGACGTCTGGAGTGGCTGGGGTTGGTGGAGCTTTCCAATGAAGAGTCTGAAAGACCAATGCACGAAAGAATGAAAGAAAGAGCAAAACAGGTAACGTGCAGGACATGTTCAAGGGAACCAAACGTGCCACCAATCACTGCGCGCCACATCATCATCCAGCCAATCACATGGCGCCACGTGGAGGACGACCACGTCCGACGTGGATCCCGTGGCTCCGCCCTTAGTCTATATGGTTAATGAGTGCTGGACTAGTATGGAGGAATTAAGGATACAGACACTTGGAAGCAGTAGGTTTGAGAGAGGTAACAATAAATAGAGGAAGCTTGCTAGGTTGAAGCGGATCGGATCCTTTATATCTTGAACTGAATTCTTGAACTCTCACTGCCACCTCTCACCATTCCATTCATGTACTTAATTTGCACTCTTTATAAGGTCTAGGTTATTGTTTTTTTCTATCTTTTCTTGGATCTCGGTGTTGATTTGGATCTTGAACTGATGAACTGGTAACCAGTTACGCTTTGTGGGCTTCGGATCTTGAAAACTTTTCAGACGAACATCTCAACAATATCTTACTTGTAAATTTTGAAGTGTAAAATGTTATTAGGAATAATATTTGTCTTTAAAACGAATTGTAATAATACATCATTTCTGCACTTCATTTCTTAATCTTTAGAATAGAGTCTGGGGAGTAGTAATTTTTAGTAAAAGGCTCCAAATAAGTATTTGAAATGGTGTTCAACTAAAAATGAATGTGAATAGAAAAAGAAAGGATCCGTAATGGAAGTTTAAGACGTAAATGAACCTCACATATACGGGACACTTAACACATGTAACAAAAGATGTTCTATAATTTTTTTCCTTTTTTTTTGTCAACGTATGATTGTCTATCTCCAACATTAATTACAAAACTAGTCGAAGAAATTAATTTCTTAGACAAATGATTAATTATGCCCAAATTGACCAATTACGGGCATGCGTATGTGATTCACGATACGGATGTAAATAATCCAAGTTTCGAGCGCGATTATCTTTCATGATTATAAGTTTTGATTGGCTCTTCCTACTTTGATAAATTTAATATTCTATTATTTATTAGAGTTTGAGTTTTACAAAAGACTTCTTATTACTTTCTTATATTATTTTTGTTTTTCTTGCTAGTTTTTTAACTAATTTTCTTGCCTTTTCTTAAAATTTGTTTCATAAATTACCCTCTGAATAAAGTTGCTCACCTACGACCTTGTTTAGCTGATTAATATATTACGATCCAAGAAAAAGTAGAGACAATTCCTACTACCTTTGTCAATACTATTATACATAAAATTTTTCTTAATTCTTTATTGGCATATTCAAATCTTTAAGGTGCCTTTTTTTTCCTATTTATCTCATGTATTGGCACTTTTGGACATAAGATTGATTCAGAAGCCTTTAAGAATTAATTTGTAATTTCAGCATAAAAGTATTTAAACACAAGTAGCAGAAACTTTAGGCAAGTTTTTGATGTTGGATTATAACAAATTAATGCAACATAAAATCATAAATATCAAAATGAGCAAAATATTTCATTGATGAAGAAAATTTACATCAACTAAAATACTTACTTAGTTGATGGACATTGTACAATAGTTGGATTGATGAACTTTGTACAACGGTTGAAAACTTTGAATATGAGATTTAATGGTTCTAATATGAAACAAAAAGTAGGAACAAGAAAATAACTTTCTAGTTAATCTACCTATATAGTAAAAGCACGAATGAGTTTTGGCAAAAGAGTGGTCGTCTGCTGATGTGTCAAGCTGTCATTGGTTAAAATGTGGTCGTCCTCCTCATGCCAAAATCACGTGCCCAGCTAGAGAAATATTGGAGGGTTTTCTTTCTTTCTGACGTATTCTGCCGAGGATGGGATTGGCGCATGGCTCGATGCATCACAATTTAGAAGGGTTCATCGCTATTCTCCTCTCTCTTAAGACTATCTCTCTCTTTTCTTCTTCATTTTCCTCAACACTCCCAAAGCCCCAAAGCCCTAAAGCCCTAAAGCCCTTCTATCTCTCTTATTCTCCATGGCCGGCAACATCAGGAGATTCAGGACCAAAACAGATGGTTGGTATTTTTTTCTTTCCCTCCCTGATTTTCTCTAGCCTTCTATTTTTCTTTTTAGGTTTAGTTGCCTGATCTAATCTAATTCGTATTTATTTGTGATATTGCAGGTGACAATTTTGGAATCTCTTCCAACATTCTTGTGAGACTCTGTAAGATTTTTTTCCCTTTTTTTAAAACTATGTTCTAAAACACGTGGTTGGTTTTGCTCTTTTTCCCCCCTTTCTTTTGCCTGGTATTCTTCCTTCTTTTGCTATATTTGTATCTCAATTTTGGATTTAACAAATTTGAGAAATTTTTTTTGAAACTTTTCCCGATCCAATGCCGTTATAAGAAATTTTTCCTGGTTTCTTTTTTTTTCCTAATTTATGTTTTTTTTAATATTTCAAGTCAAAAGTTTGGGAAAATTCTTCAATTCTTTTTCGAAATACTCTAGGTTATGTAGTGAAGCATTATGTTCCAACCTTTTGTATGTAATAGTAAGTGAATATATATATACTTTTTGGGTAGGTTATAGTAAATGAATATTTGACTGTATCTATTTCATTGCCATTTGTACCCTAAACATCATCTTGCATTTTTTTTCCCTTGCAGAAGAGGTTATCTTCGATTTTGTCAGATTACAGGTTTTTTGCTCTCTCTTTTTGTAAAAAATTTTTTATTTTCCCTTGAATTGTTGATTTATTTATGCTTATAACCTATTAGGTGTAAGTTTCGATATTGGTTATCATGGATTAGTTGGCCTTCAAAAGATTAGGTTGTGGCATGTTTCCTAAACGTTTGAAACATCATAGTTGATATAATGTTACTAGAATTTGTAGTCATTTGAGTATTTTATGGATGTCTAGCTTTTTGTGTCTTTTGTATACAGGATTTCTTGTTTTCTTCCCTTTTTTTTTGATTCTAAATTTCTGTAATAATGCAATGATATTTATATGAAATCAAGTGTTTGACAAAATGCCAAAACTATTAATTTGTTTGTAGTAGGTAAAACTGGAAAGCAAGAAAGTTTACATGGACCTAAAATCAGAATTTTGTATGGATCTTATTGAGTTTGTTGATTCCATAGAATATCTCCATTTCTGCATGAGACAAAATATGAACTAGATTATTGTTGACTCCGCTGTGTTTCTATGCAACACAGCTGATGCTTAGCAATTTCTAGGTAGACATGACGAAACGAAAAAAATTGAACATAGGCAGACCAAAGCTTCATAGTAACGTTTTAAATAGAGAGCATATTTCTAAGTTGTTTTCTCATTTGGTTTTCTAATTCAATTTCTCAATTAAAAGAAGATTTTCCTTTTTCTTTATATGTTTGTCTCTCAGGAAAGTATTTTTGTGTTGCCAATTTTTGGTTTATTTGATTTTGTGTTTTTATTTTATTGTCTTTGCAGGATGAAAGATAACAATACCTATCTTTCATTCTCTTCTATTCTCTAGAAGTATATTCTTTTAAAGTTTTTTAAGTATTACTTTTTTCTACCTATTTAGTAAAAGCATGAATGAATTTGTTAAGATGAATGGTGATTGTGTTGATGTGGCTGTGTTTTATTGGTTGGAGGATGGTCGTCACTCACAAGGACTGCACGTGCTTAAGTTGGGAGGAGAAATAGCTGCTCATTGTTGAGTCTCCTTTCTCACCTTTCTCTTGATTGTTCTACCAGTCTCCTCATCCCCTTTTTCCAGAACCCCCTATTCCTTTTGTCTCATCCGAGAGTATGATTGACCTCCTCCATTCCTTCCATGGATTTCCTCCATTTTTTTCTCTGAAAAAAAGAAAAGAAATAGACTAATAGCACACCACTTCTATTCTCTCTTTTTTCTTCATTTCCCCCTCTTTTAAAGATTATTCGAAAAAATGACACCCAAAACCCACCTTTTATTCTCTTTTTTTTTTTTTTTCTCTTTCTTATCCTGAGATAGGAGAACCTCGAAGATTGGTCGCAAACTGGTGTAAATGTAATGTCACACATCTGATTTATCTGCTTCTCTTATGCATAATGTATAGACTAGCTTTGTTATTTCAGTTACAAGATTATGGGTCACATTTGCTCTTTGAACCTAATCTTGGTATTCTGTATATTTAGTTTAGTTTTACTCTATTTTATAATCAACAGAAATCCAGAGTACCTTGAATAACATCAAATTATAGTGCTGGTGTAAATGTAATGTCACGCATTTGATTCATCTGCTTCTCTTATGCATAATGTATAAACTAGCTTTGTTATTTCAATTACAAGATTATTGGTCACATTTGCTATCTTTGAACCTAATCTTGGTATTCCGTATATTTAGTTCAGTTTTACTTTGTTTTATAATCAACAGAAATCCACTGTACCTTGAATAACATCAAATTATACTCTCCCTGTTCCATTTGTGTTTAGGTTCATTATTATGAGGACGAGTCTGCTCCAACGGGTACTTGTGCTGTTTGTGTTGTTGGTGGTGAAAGGTCAGTTTTGCGGAAAATGGTTTAGACAAAATAGTTTGTAAACTTGTCCTGAACTATCCCTGCTAATAAGAACTATCGTCCACAGGGGAGGTGAAAAGTGAAAATATTTACCTTGTCTTTTACTGGGTTAGTGTGGTAGTAATTTGCTTTTCTGCAGACAGCTATATGTCGATACTTCTGATGATCCTAAATTTGTTGTTGTAAACAAATTTAGGATATCTAAATATCTTCTTCTTCTTCACATATCAGCTCCCTTCTCAACAAAAAAGGATCTTCTTCCCCATTTTTAAATTGTCTCTTCATTGCTGTCATGCTTGTTGTGCCTGATCTGACAATTAGCAGATGTCTTATTCCTTTCTTTCATGAAGTTTAGACTGTTATTAACAGACTGGATTGATAAGAATACAAATGAAACCCTATGCAGGTCACTTGTTGCAAACTTGTCAGCTGCAAACTGCTATAAATCTGAACACCTGAAGAGACCAGAAAATTGGGCCTTAGGTAAGCATTTTTTCTGTTTCTGTTTCTTTTTCCATTTACAGGATATATTCTCTTGTTATCTGATATCTGATCTGTTCTCTTGCCATTTGGCCAGTTGAAAAGGCCAAGTACTACTATATTGCTGGATTCTTCCTCACTGTTTCCCCCGAGTCTATCCTACTTGTTGCTGAGCATGCAGCTGCAAAGAACAAGGTAAAACTTTTGACCTCATAGCTAATCTATTTGGTTTTTCTTTTTCCGTTTCTGATCCTCATCCCTTTTCCTCATAAACCTATGATTTTTCCCTCTCTCTACATAGAAAAATTTCTATTTTCTCTCAATTATTTTTCTCTTTATTGGGACATAATTACCTTGGAG